AACAATGCTGGGATAGCCTTCAAAGGTACGAACTTGCGTGTAAATGAAAATCACTAAAATTGGCTGTGTTTATTGTAAAACGCAGAACTCCTCACTTCAGGAAAAAAGGCTTTTGGGGTGAGTGACCTTAGGGGCTTGTGATAGCTACAGGTTGTTAATGAATTCTGTCGTTGTTCAGTCATATCCGACTCTTCCTGACCACCTGCACCATGCTGTCCCTGGGGCTTTCTCGGAAAAAATCCAGGAGTGGTTTGCCGTTACCTGGAGAACCAATGGATTAAGGCAAACAGCAGTTAAGTGATTTGCCCAAGGTCACACAACTAGTAAGTGTCTGGGACAGAATTTAAACTTGGGTCTTCCTAATTCCAGGGCCCGCAGTGAGCCATCTATTTGACCCTACCTCGCGAAATTTCTTTCTGTTACTTTGTGTATATCTCCTGTTGACTTCCTGATGTAGGTGTTGCAGCCTTCTGGGAGAGTGTTGGCACCTGAGCACGGGCGGTTTCTTTAGTATGTGTTATATCCCCAGTGGTGGTGTTGTTTGCTGATAGTTTCTTCAGCAAATGCTTGTGGAATTGAAGTTGTTGAATATTTGCACTTGACGAAGCATCTAGATTGTCACGCTCAGGCGTCTGAATTTCACAAGGTGTCAAAGTCCCTGGAGGTTTCTGTTTAGGTAATGTGACTGGATTCCTCCAACTATGTCTCCTGTTTATTTAATCAAAAGTTGCATTTCCGTGTATGCTTTCTCTGAGAAGTTTAAGTCTCTACCAAGACTTTCAAACTTGGTTATGTAATTCACTAATCAGTCAGGGCATTTTAGTGAATTTTTCATTTTTCCTTCTACTCTAAACGTCCCAGTGAATAAAGCCCAAGGCCTGGAGTCAGGTAGATCCAAGTTCAACCGTAGTTTCAGGCACTTACTACCTGTGTGACCTTGGGCAAATTACTTAAGCTCTGGTTGCCTCAGGCTGTTTAACTGTAATATGGATGTAATAAAAGTACTTAACTGGAAGCTTTGTTGTGTGAATCAAATGAGATAATATTTGTAAAGTGTCTATCTTATAGTAGGAGTTATATAACTATTTATCCTTCCCCCTTCACCTTTTAAAATTATGTGAATTTCTTTGTTTTAGAAATAGAAAGGTTCAGTTTGATTACTGTTTAACTTACTCTTCATTCTTCCCCACCCCTCCCTTCTTTTTAGCTGGTGATACCACGCCCTTTCCTATTCAAGCTGAGGTGACTCTGCAAACCAACTTCTTTGGCACCAGAGCTGTATCATCAGAGTTATTGCCTCTGATAAAACCCCAAGGTAAATTCAGTATCTGGAATACAAAGCAATGACCTTGTTTATACAAGGAGGAAAAATCTAGAATTATCAAACATTTAGTACTAAACAAAAGATCTGAGTTCTGGCTCCAATTCTAACAATGTTGCCATGTCTGATTATCCCTATTTTTCTGGGCCTTCATAACAGTTACAAAGAAGAAATTAGATTTGATAATCTCTTAACAACACTCTCATCTCTATTTCTAGGATACCTTCCGTAACTCAGGGACATTGGGAAATATTTGACTATATTACATGAGTCATATCAAGTATGACTTAGCAACAAAAAGGGGGGGAGGAGAATAAAAATACCTCTGTGTCAAGATTCCTCTCCCAACA